TATCGAATTATTACTGGCGATGAGAAGTGGATATATTTCGAGAATCCCAAACGCAAAAAATCGTGGCTTTCACCTGGCGAAGCATCAACATCGACGGCACGGCCAAATCGCTTCGGAAAGAAGACACTCTGTGTTTGGTGGGACCAGAAAGGAATCGTGTACTATGAGCTGCTGAAACCGGGTGAAACTGTTAATAGGCATCGTTACCGACAACAACTGATCAATTTGAACCATGCATTGCTCGAAAAACGGCCAGAATGGAACACGAAACACGAACGAGTGATATTGCAGCACGACAACGCTCCGTGCTATCGCACTTCCATCGTCCAGGACACCATCAAAACGCTGAAATGGGATCTGCTACCGCACTTGCCGTATTCACCAGACCTGGCACCTTCCGATTATCACTTGTTTCGGTCGATGGCGCATGGCTTGCCTGGGCTACACTTGGCCAATTTCGAAGAAGTGCAAAATTGTTTGGATGAATAATTTCGGTTCAAAGACGCGTCGTTCTATCGTCGCGGTATTCATGTATTGTCAGAGAGATGGCAAAAATGTGTAGCTAGGGAGGGACGATACTTTGAATAAACCATTTTTTGTATTTCTCTTGAAATTTTCCATTTTTCATTGATCAAAAAAACCCGGAAACTTAGTTTTTGCACATCTAGTAGAAAGACGGGCCGTAACGCCGTCTCGAAACGACCTTGTCCTGATCTTGGCAACGTCATCTTAGGTCAAATAACTACTGTCATTAAATGCGACTTTTTAAGCCTTACAACTTTTATTCGAAACATTTTTCTCTAAAATGCTCCCCCGCCGAGTTTTCTTGCCGTTGCCGAACTTATGGGACACACTGTGTGTATATATATATATATATATATATATATATATATATATATATATATATATATATAGATTATATTTATATTTTATATATCATTATTATATTATTATTATTATATTTTTTTTAATAAATGAAATTAAAATAAAATTTATTGATGTACTTTTGTAAATATAATAATAATACTATTTTTATAAGATTAATAAACTTTAAGTAATGAAATAGATTAAATAAAACATTTCTATGTTTTAGTAATTAATCGTACACTACGTAGAAATTACCATCCGCAATTTTTTTAATCAAGGGAAAAGAATTAAACGTACATATATCTTGCAATTTCAAAAGCAAAAAGTGTTTTGTTGGAATCATTTTATAAGCGTAAAAATGAGAAGAGAATCCGAAAGTTTCTAATTTTTTTATTATAAAATAGAATTCATCATTTTCATTAACAGCAATAATTGTAATAATTCCGAAAAGAGGTAAAATATCTTGGACTCCTAAATTTATAGTCATATCAGATTTGTACGTATAAATATGTATTTTAATCCATTTCATTAATAATAACGACGAATTTGGCAAACAGCTTTTAAAACTAAAAAATAATGGATGATTTTCAATTGTATTTATAGAGTCACATGTAAAAAGCACTTCTTCTTTAAAAGAAAATTCTTTCAAAATCCTATCACTTAACATTAATTGATTTTTCTGCATCAGTGTCAAAGGTAAATTAATACTTGACTTTATATGCGCATATGCCTTAAATTTTTTATGATTAGCTTCAAAACGCATACACCAGATATTAATTAATGGTCCACATTTTTCTATAACTTGATGATAATGAAGCATATTATGAAATTTTAATTTTAAAGTTTTTCCAAATAATTGAATATAACTGTCCAAATGTTCTGTAATCAAAGTATTTAAATATTCAATGTCTACAGTTGTTATCGATCGTGCCATGAGTATATCGATAATAGCTCTTAAAGATACATTAAAATCCCAATATTTATCATTTTTTGGTATCAAATCACCAATTAACAATCCGAAATATTTCATGAAGTAAATTGTTTCAGAAGCAGAGAAGCCCAAACGATAATTTTTTAACTTTTCTTTTTTTAAAGAAGGAGGGTGGTTTATTCCATCTTCGAAGCCAAAATCAAACTTATTTAGTCGATTATTTAGTTCCTCAAGCGTAGAAAGTTTAGCTTTATATATGTAATATAGAAGTAATTGAGACAAATCATATTGACATACACCTTCAAAAATATCATGCATTATATCGAATGCAAGATTATCGAATAAATTAAAGTTTTTTAAACAATTGAAAATACATTCTTCATTTATGCCTGTCTTCGATACGTCTCCTAATCTTACGTCCATTTCGTAATTTGTTTTTGTTCGCATAAGAGCATCGATTTCAATAGTCGTTTCTCGTATCGAATGAAGTGACATTTTACAAATATGACATGGAAAATTAGCAACAAAACTTTGTACAAAACCGCAAATTTCATGTATTCCAAGATTATCACCTGTAATTAACATAAAACAAACATAAATTTTATTATCATCAATACAGGATTATTTTCTAAATATTTCAATTCTTTTATAAGTGGATTATAAGAAAGCACTTTTGTTTCCAAATTCTATTCTATCTTTTTCGTTAAATAATAAAGTAAGGAAAATATTGTCCAATTTTGAAGAAAACTGTGATGGAATGCAAGGCAAAGAAAAATAAGTAGCGCCCATTTTATGATTACCTGCATGTCCACCTAAAGGATTCTGTATTTCAAAAGCGTTATAAAATAGAATAAGAGGTAGTAATATAGAATCAGCTGGAAACTGCTTTTAACATGCGTTTGTATAGTTTACCTTGAGTAACATTATGAATTACATTACTTTCTGTTGACAAAATTTGCATATAATTTAATATTGTTGCTAAAAATCCTGGTATATTAAACAATCCATTTAGTATTTTTTTAATAGAAACAAATTGACCGGTCGCATTCATACG